CTGGAAATACGGCTAAACGCAGCGTCTGAAATCATGGAGATAAAGGAGGGAACGTTGTCGAAAAAAGATGAAGACTATGCAGCCATGTTTATATGAGCCACTAGTATTGTCATCTGTTAAAACTTTACAATACTTCGATGAAATAATGCCTAGAATGATATTTTAAGAAATCTAATAAACATATTTACTTAAAAAACTAACAAAAAAACAAAATTTAATCAATATTAATTATAGATATTATATTATAGATATTTATAACATTTAATAAATATAGGTAAATAAATGTTATCCCGTGGGATCTTTCGGATGCCGCGAGGAGGAACGTCGGGAAGATACCAGATTTTTGTTAATAGAACAGTAGATTATTGTGTTGTCGAAATTACACTTTTATTGGTCAACTCGTGTTTACACTTTAATTCACCTTTGACTTTTAATTCTAAGTTCCCACAAGTGATGCTCTGTCGAGCAGAGCCTTCGGCCGCGACACGTCTCGGGATTATTCCAACGACGCACAGGTGATGCCGGCTTTTATACCTCAGCCACTCAATCATGATTGGCGGAGGAAAACCCTGACGGTACCCGGTGTCCAAAAAGTGCAATGCAGACCATTGCATCTTTTCGGCCGCGCGTGCGACCCTTGGTCAGCGCGTCCTTGGACGCGCTATCACATTTCGCGTAGCGACCGGCGACTGGATCTTCGCGTCGGATTCCAGTAGCCCCAATAACCTTACAATAAGCATTTTAAACTGACTGATAACACAAACGGAAATTACATAAACACAACATATTACTAAAACATACAACTAAACATACCTCTTAATCTTACACAAGCACCTTATAACATAAATAAGTAAATAAAAAAAATAACTTATAAACATAATTTACTGTCCTGCAAATAATATTAATTTATTATAAAAATGTCTTTTGCTTACATTAATATTCTTATTATTCTGTTTTACAATAGAAAAAAATCTTGTCTGTACATATTTTATTATAATACTTTTAATTAAATTTATTCTATGACATGTTAAAAAGTTTTGATCATATGAATGAGTTATCAATTCTTCAAATATATTAATTATATTTAAAGTTAAAAGTACATTTTGTGTAATATAAAGAACGGAATATTTTTAACTAAAAGTTATATTATTTTCTTTTATAGCAAATCTGATAATCTTTTCTGTTTCAAGGCATATTTTTATCACGCTTTCTGAAGGATATGTTAAACTTCCACGATCTTTTATTTGTATAATTTTCTTTGATTTACTATTATCAATTAAGGCATTAACACAAATATCACACATGATGTATGTTTAATTAAATGTCTTACAATAAATCCAGCTATGTAACTTATGACTTCTATGGAATATTGATCTAAATTAATAATATTATAAATTAATGCTGCAATATAAGGATGATCGTGTTCAACTGAAATTTGATTAATATACTTTTCAGTGTCAAATTCATAATTATCGATTATACGATCAATCATACAAGTTTTATTTATTAATTCCTCTGGTTTAAGTACACTTTCTTCCTGTCACTAACAGATTAATACGCATCAACGTCAAATAATACTACTCTCAATGTGTTGAAATAATACCACTCTCATCAAATAGATAGCAGCACTAGTGGCTCATAGAAATATGGCTAAAGGACTTCCGGGCTAGCCGTTGTGGCGGGAAGACGTCTTTTCGTTTCTCGCGCTTCTTTGTGCTTTCCTGCCTTATTATTTCGGGCTTCTCGCGCTACGCGGATAATTTGTATTGTCTCCGGCTCATCGTTCTCAATTGCCTACCCGGAAGTGGTTCTCTTTTAACATCTTTCCCGCTCTGCGTGTAAGGCAACAGCGTGTCTGTGCCGCATAACCTGTCTCGCGCATCGTCGCCGGGCGGCGAACCCTCGCCTTCCCCGGTGTACGAGAGTATTCAGGACGACCTCCGGTTGTTTCTGTCTCAACCATCGGGCCTGATGTCGGCTCCTTCGCGGGGTCGCCTCGAAGAAAACAGGATGGAGACCGATCCTGAAACGCATAACCTGAAAAGGCCGTATTAATCCACGGATGAAGATTGCGATCATGTTTCTGAAAAGTTGAAGAATACAAAAAGTTCGTGCGGGGTGACCGGTAAGGAGTCAAAACAAGGAGACAAAAAGAAAGTTATGTTGCGACAAGTGTCTGTCGAGGATATGAGTGACGAGCATGTCGCATCCCTTCCAATGAGGGGTGCTCGAGAGTTGGGCTCTTCGACGAACGCCTTGACGGCGACCCTTCCATCGGATTCTGATGCTGGCAGTTCGTCTTGTGTGGTTTTACCGAGCCCTAATACACGGCCGGAAGCTTCCAGAGCCCCGTCGGATTGCCGCCTTCAAAGGTACGATGCCTTCTCTCGGGCTCCTTTCTTCGTACACGTTCGAGTGCCGTCTTCAAAAAGTTCAAATAACCGCATGCCGTTGGTGTAGTTTGTACGCAAGCTAGCAGCAGCCAATGTGAAGTATACACGTGTAGCTAACTACTCCCGTAATACCTGGCGGGTGTATTTGCCGTCTAAGTCAGCTGCAAATAATGTGCTTTCGAATAAATTGTTGAGTGACATGAATTTTATTTCGTTTATTCCGGGCTTTAAACTATTCCGGCGCTTTGTTATCCGGGATATTTCCCTAGATTATAAATTGACGGACCTGAAGCGCGACCTTGAAGACGAGAACCCACGATTGCTAATAGTTAAGCTGTTTCGCTTAAAGCGAAGAGACCGCGTCTCTCGGCAGCTGCTCGACTCAGAATCTGTCTGTCTGGAGATTCATGGTGAGGATATACCTGAGGAAGTATCGCTGTTTAAGGCTGCAATCCGGACCAAACTATATGTTCAATCGGTTCGTATCTGCTTCAAGTGTGGCCGTTTCGGCCACTTCAGTAGAACGTGTGAGAGACAGGATCGGTGCTTAACCTGTGCCGGCGATCATCACTGTGCCCGGGAATCTCCGTGCATCAATGCCAAGAAATGCGTGAACTGTGAGGGGGCTCACGGCACCCTTAGCAGAGACTGCTCATCTTACAAGATTCAAGCGGAAATAGTGCGCATTATGGCATACGACAACCTTCCGTTCTTTGAGGCAAAAAAGTTGGCGGAAGGCACCTTGTCCTGTGGCTCAACTGTAGCCGAGAAGACTCTTCAGAATTTTCCGTTTCTCCCTGGATCTCAGCCTTCTGCGTGGAATGGACGTCGGTCGGGAACACCCCAGGGATTGGCTACCTTCTCCTCGACAGCCCTCTGGGCAGAGGAGAAGCTCTCATCCGCCTCCAGGACAATGATCTCTGATATAATAAACAGCATCCTAGCTGCTGAGGATTATGATAAGCTCATTTCGCGTATTCGTAATACGATAGATTTACACAACAATAATATTAAGAAAAGTAGTTCGGTTAAATAATGACTCAATATTGCGTAAAGAAAAAGATTAATGACCCCTTTGGTCTCGTTCAATGGAACGCTAGGTCTCTGTTACCTTATCTTAACGAACTTGCGAAACACTGTGAATCTCACAATTTTTTCTTAATTTCAGAAACGTGGCTACAAGCCCACAATAGTTGTATTCTGCGAGGATTTGACACGGTGAGGAAGGATCGTCAGGGTCGCTGTGGCGGTAGAGTCGCTATCCTGGTGAACAACTCCGTAAAGTACAAACAAGTCCCGGTTCTCTTTGATTGCGCAGGTAAGCTGGAGGCGTGCGCCATGGAGGTTTCCCTTCAAGGCGAGCCTGTTATTCTTGTCTCGTGGTACCGTCCTCCTCAGGGCCCGCTAATTTCAGTAAGAGAATGGTCCTTGTTCTTTTCTCAGTTTGGAGGGTCGAAGTTCTTTGTGGGTGGCGACTTTAATGCCCATAGCCCTCAGTGGGGCTCTAATCACTTGTGCCCGACGGGTTCCTCCTTGAGTGAAGCCCTGACGGACCTAGACTGTGTTGTTTTGAATGATAGATCGGTGACTTACAGAGGGGATTTCCGCAGGTCTAGCTCGGCGTTGGACCTCTCCATCGCCCATAGCGGTCTGGCTCTTCGGCTTAATTAGCGGGTCGGGAGTGATCCCTGGGGGAGCGACCACTTCCCGGTCTTTGTGGAGTCGAGGCTGCGCCCTGGTACCCCGCCAGCACCTCGACGGTCGCCTCGTCTTTATTCGGTGGGAACAAACTGGTCGGTTTTTCAAGAAGTAATGGACCACGAGATTAGACACTCGCTAGATCTGTCTGCCGAACCCCAGGTTCTCTACTCTTCGTTCGTGGCGTTGGTGGAGGGGGCGGTGGGGGCCGCCACCCCGAAGAAGCGCTCCCCCCGGGATGTCCTCGGAAATCTGTCCATCCCTCTTGTTTGTGGTGGAATGCTGAGTGCGACATGCTTGTTCGTCAGAGGAAGGCGGCTTGGAAACGGTTTCGATTCTCCGGGCTCCGGGAGGATTTTATCGCTTATAAACGAGTTGTTAGTGCTACTCGTAGAGGTTTAGCGCGGATTAAGTGTGAGAGGTTTCGTACTTTCTGCTCCGGACTGCGTAAGGACATCAAACCCGCGTATGTATGGAACGTCATCAAGCGTTTTGACTACAGGTGGAATAAAACTGAGACGGGCAGAGAGTATAGTGACACCAAGACTCAAGTAGTCCGGAGTCAAGTTGACGAGTTGTGCCTCCCCCCTCTGGGTTCCTGTGTCTTCTCCGTTGTTTTCCGAGGTCTCCCGGGATCCCTTTCTAGATCTACCCTTCACGGGTACGGAGCTGGAGCTGGCGTTGGCCTATGTCAATGACGGGTCCAGCCCAGGGCTGGACTCCGTTGATTACCAGGTTATTAAGCACTTTTCCGCGTTAGGTAAAAACGTCCTTCTTACAATTTTTAATTCCATCCTGTCAGAGGGCTGGTTTCCAGTTGAGTGGAGAAGGTACTTGGTGTTTTTTATCCCTAAAGCGGATGGCCGCAAGTTCAGACCTATCTCCCACTCCTCGTGTCTCTGTAAGACCATGGAACGCATGATCTCATGTCGCTTAAGCTGGTGGCTTGAGTGGCACGGCCTTCTTCCGGGCACGCAGTTTGGATTTTGCAGACAGAAGTCATGCGTTGACAACCTGACTCTTCTATACGGTGAGATCCTGGGAGCTTTTCAGGAGGACTCGGCCGTGGCGGCCGCCTTTTTAGACATCCAGGGAGCGTATGACAATGTTTTGAGTGACATCCTGCTGAATAATCTACTTTTGCTGGGGGTTCCGCAACGTACCCAAAAGTTTATATGGCACCTTACTTCATCGCGCCAACTTTTCTTTAGGTTCGGAGAACTAGAGCTGGTGCGTTGTGTTTTTCGAGGTCTTCCCCAGGGAAGTGTCCTCAGCCCTCTCCTGTATACAGTCTACGTGTCAAAGCTGGACCGCTTACGTATCCCGGGTTGTAAAATCGTACAGTATGCAGACGATGTTTGCCTGTATTCCTCGGAGTTTCCGGTGGAGGAAGCTCTGAGAAGCGTGGAGTTGGCAGTGGAGGAGACGAATTTGACTTTGGGGTCGCTTGGGTTGACTCTGTCGGCCCCTAAGACTCAGTTGTGTGTCTTTAGCCCGGGCGATAGGGCCCTAAAGTCCGTGGTTAGAGTGGGGGGCCGCGTTCTGTTTAGACGCCAGTCACGATCGATATCCGTCTCGGGGGTTTGGATCTCTTCCTCTTTGGAGGTCAAGTTCCTGGGACTTGAGTTTCAGTCTAATTTAGGATGGAAGGCCCATATTCAACACGTTGAGAACCGGTGTGCTAACTCGCTTAGAACTCTTCGCTGTCTTAGTCGAACCTGGTGGGGTTCCGACTCCCGTCTGTTGACTCCCTGTACCGAGCTCTGGTCCGTTCCCGTTTGGAGTACGGGGGCTTTTTGATGCATAATGTGTCCACGTCTCTCTCGTCCCGACTGGATAAGATTCAGTTGCGAGCCTTGCGTGTTGCGATGGGCTATATGACGTCCACCCCGTGTAACGTAGTGCTAGCCGAGGCCCGGGAACTTCCAGTGTGTGTCCGTGACACCTTCTTGTGCTGTAGCTTCTTGTCGCGCATGTTTATGTATTCTGGTCATCCGGCCCGAGTGTTGCTTGAGGAAGTAAAGAAAAAAGTTCAAGCGCCCACCCGAGTTAACCGCGTGGCCTCGTTCCCGTTGGTGGAGGCTTTTCGCCGCGTGAATACGATGGCTCGATTTCTCCCGGAGGGAGAGGCCTCTCTGTGTTATTCGTTTGGGTTTGATGCACTTATGTATTGCCCTGCGGTGGACTTGGAGTCGGGCTTGGGGCTTGCGTGCTTTCCAGACCCTCAGAGTTCCTTTGAGAAGCTTTTCTCTGAGGACCTGTCCTCTTCGGTGTGTGTTTTCACGGACGGCTCCGTTAAGCAGGGCTCGCCGTTTTCTGGGTTTGCGTTGACTTCCTCCGATGGGTCGGCAGTGTCGGTTCGCGGGCTTCCTTTCCTCCTTCTGCGTTGAGGTTATGGCGATTTTGGAGGCTTTTCTGCTCGCTCGAGCAGAAGGCTGGAAAAAGGTGACAGTTTTCTCGGACTCCAAGACTCTAAGTTTTTATATTTTTTAAAAATATGTTTTTTATTTCTCGAAGTTGGGAGTATGCTCGTTTTGTTTGTCCCATCAAACACTATTTTTGTGCAAAATTTCAGATTGATTGGGACAAGAAATCATTCTGAAATACACCTAAAATCGATTTCAGTTGATATAGTTATTATTTTTTTAAAAATTTGTTTTTTATTTGCCGAAGTGAAGACTACGCGCGTTTTGTTTGTTCCATCAAACACTATTTTTGTGCAAAATTTCAGATTGATTGGGAGCAGGGGTCATTCGAAAGTATATCCCAATAAAGATAAAATGATGATAGCGCGCTCCTCGAACGCACCCTAATAAATCAGAAGTCAGAAGCAAGAAATTGGGTGCGTTCAGACAACTCACAGTTGCACAACGGTTGAGAGATACTCACTTCTGATTGGATCATACTTTTGGAACCGTATCAGATTTTGAAGAATAGTCCTATCATAAGTGATGATCTCTCAACCGTTGAGTTGTCTGAACGCACCCATTGACTAATCACAATCGATTATTCTTCTGTGATTTGACTGTGATTGGTCAATTTCTTGCTTCTGACTTCTGATTTATTACCATAGAGCTTATACTAAAGCCTGTTCTACATTGATTGCAAGCGCAAACGCAAGGAACAGGTCTGGTAGAATTGACTAATCGTATTGATCAAATCAGCCAATTGACCAGCGTGATTAGTCAATTCTACGAGATTTATACCTTGCGTTTGCGCTTGCGATCAATGTAGAACGAACTTAACTGGTAACAGATAAAAGAAGTTACGTTTTGGGGACGAGAGGAGAGACTTTTGGCGGGAAGACATCTTTTGTGTAAACGCTGTTTTCTCGCGCTTTTTTCGTCTTTCTTTTGGCTGAGTTACGCTTTCGAGCGTTTTCCCTCACCCTTTCAGGGTCTAGCTACCTCGGGAGTAAATTTTCTTAAAACTTTTCGGTGTCTGAGCGTGTGAAGCAATTAAAGTGTCTCTGCATAACCTCTCGCGGGACTCGCGGCCGGATGGTGGGCTTTCGCCCTCCCCGGCCTATGAAGAAATTGGAAACGATCTACAGTTTTTCCTTGTAAGCCCTTCGACTCCGGACTCAAAGTCTGATGCCCTTGAGTCGAGAATGGATGTCGATGGAGACTTGTAAGAGGCCACATCCGACTACAGACGAAGAAGGATCTTCTGAAATCTTTCCTGAACGCAAACTTCCCGCTTCAATGAGTAAGAAGAACGCAAGGAAAGAGCTTCGCCCTGAAAGGCTCTCATTAGTACATACGGATGCCTCTACGTCGCCGGAATTAAGAGATGCTGACGTCTTGTCATCATGGCCTACGGTTTCCCCGCCTGGGGAGAAGCAAGTTGAGAGTAAGCGACAGGAATCCTCTCAGTCTTCTGTAAGTAAAACCGTCGCTTCTGACAAGGAGGCTCTGCAGAAATATGGCGCTTTTACTCAACTCCCCCTCCTCATATGTGATTCACTTTTGAATTCCGACGGCTCCGGGGGTGAGATCCCGGTCAATGTTACTGATCTCAGTCTCCAGGAAACTATCTACGTCTAATTTGAAATTTCTGAGCATCCACAGATACTCTCGTAATACACGGAAAGTGGTTTTTCCTTTGAAGGTGGCTGCTAACAACGCTTTTACCAACAAGTATGTGAAGGAAGCGGATATGTCAGCGTACATCCCGGGTTAAAAGCTTAGCAGAAAAGTGATTGTGAGAGAGATTCCACTTGACATATCCCTGGAGGAAGTTAAACAGGCAAATGAGGATGAGAACAGCAATATTATGGTTCTCAAAATCTTTTGTCTTAAACGCCGTGATAGATCTTTAAAGGAATGGTTGGGGTCAGAAACTATCTGCTTGGAACTGGCAAGTGAAGCACTGCCAGAGTCACTTGTCATCTTAAAAACGGTTTTTTCGCAATATAAATTTAATTTCAATTAGGGGGGTATTTGGGATTTCTCATATACGAGATGCAAGTATAGCATCCTATATGAATTTTAGAATTGTTATTACAATTTGAATTTCACGTGTAAAAATTTACACGTAAACACGTATATATGTATATATATACACGTATAATTTCCGCACAACACCTAGCGAACGGCTCTCATGACCGAATATATATTTATTAGTTTGGAAACTTTAGAGCCTTAAAAGATTCTTTTAATTGTTTAAAAACAATAAACCCAGTCCAGCCCTATGTTCCCGCAGTCCGAATGTGTTTCAATTGCGGCTACTTCGGCCATATCAGTAAATACTGCGAAGGAAATACTAAGTGCCTGGTTTGCGGTGGAGCTCACAGGAACTCAAAGGACACTCCTTGCAAGGCTTCAGCTTCTTGCATAAACTGCACGGGTGCTCACAGCTCGCTCGACCGCACATGCTTTATCTACAAACGCCATGCTGAAGAGGCTCGAGTGATGGCATATGACAATCTTCCTTACTTTGAGGCAAAACGGCTGGTGATCAGCGCGGAGAGGGGAATGGGTGCTGCGCCGGACAAGACACTGAAAAACTTTCCCCCCTTCCTTCCCGAGAGGGAGTCTCAATGGTCACCTCGTCTGTGGCGTCTACTTCGAACGGATCATCGGCATAGAGCTGGCCGTCTGCGGGTAATTTCTGCAGAGAAGAAGTCAAAGCTCGTGTACGTCAGCTGGTCGATAAAATCATGCGTATGGACGATATAGACACTTTATTTCAGCGAATTGGTAATACGATAAATTTACATTCTAAGGTTTCGAAAAAATAAGTCAGTTCACAATGGGTGCGTTCAGACAACTCAACGGTTGAAAGATCATCACTTATGATAGGACTATTCTTCAAAATCTACTGCGGTTCCAAAAGTATGATCCAATCAGAAGTATCTTTTAACCGTTGTGCAACTGTTGAGTTGTCTGAACGCACCCAATGAATAAGTCTAAATCTCGCTGCGATCTTTTTGGTTTAATCCACTGGAACGCAAAGTCGATATTACCACGCTTTACCAAACTTGCTCGTCATTGTGCAACCGTCGGACGAACTGCCTTCGCGAGTCGAAATCCGATTGGCGGACAGCGAGCGCGAAAGGGAGCAGAGCGCACGAGAGGATGAGCGGCTCATGGAAATGGCCGACGAGGAGGCGCAGGCGCAGTTACAACGCCAAATAACCAGTCTTTAAGGGCTATAGCAGCTCTAAGTAGATCCCAGTCTATACTATTGAGAGACCACCTGGGAAAGCCCGCCTGGTTTCTATACCCATGGCCCCCACCTCGAACAAGAGCAGGCAAAGTCAACTTTGTCTCAATGATGTAATGATCCGACAAAGATTCTGTCTCAGCCATCAGTTTCCAATTAACAACCTTATTGGCCATATCGACACTACGCCACGTGAGGTCAACGATGGAGACTCCCTGGACCCGTGAACACGTGGGAGTGGTACCAACATTGAGAAGAACAAGATCCAGGGAGAAAGCCCATTCCTCAACAACTTCCCCTCGGAAATTAGTGCGTTTGGATCCCGAGCTGACCGAGGCCGCGTTGAAATCCCCCATAACTATAAGGGGGGACGAACCTGTTCTTCGTATACTGTCCGCCAGCCTATCCAGGCGGTCCTCAAAATTAGTTCGGCGCTCATTGGGGGGAAGATATACGCTATATATACGAAGATCCCCAATCTTAATTGCAACGAACCCAGACCCCCTTTCAATAAGGCAAGCTTCTCTTTTGCATTGTTGCGGATTCCAGTAAATCGCCGCCAAGCCCTCCAAGTCTCCAAACCAGTGACAAAAATCCGGAACAGAATACGGTTCCGCAATACACGCTAGCGCAGCTTTGGCCTCCATCATATGCTGAACAAGCAAATCCTGGGCGGCCCGAGAGTGATTAGTATTAAGCTGACACACTAGCATAGTTCCATAGCAGCCAGCTCCTCTCTTCCTGCTGGGCCCCCACCAGCAGTTGCAGTGATCTCCGTAGTACCCGTCGTATTCACGCCAGTAGTACGTCTGTTCGGTCTCTCCACAACTGTTTTGGCCGCACACTTATCCGTGCCAACCCTATGATCTGCAGTCAATTCATGCGAAACACAGACCGGGCACCGAACACGATTTACGCAAGTCAGGTCTCTGTGACCCGGTTCGCCACACTTATAGCAGAGGTTACCTCTATCGACAGAGCTTGGGCATGTAGACCTAACATGGCCGAATTCTAGGCAGCGGAAACATTGCAACTTCCTAGGAGGAAGCAGTATTACCCGCGCCGATGTCCAACCTAACTTGACTTCCCAGCCTTGGCCAAGGCCTGGGCCGCATCTATCGGACACTGAATCCATACCGCGCACAAGCCACTTACCATCAGCTTAATAGAGCCAATTTTAATGTCATCCTTGTTACATTTTCCAATGTCTATTCTCTGATTGGCAATTTCCTTCTCAGTTACCGAGTCATCAAAACCTACGATTCGTAGCTCAGCCCGCTTTGAGGGAACCGTAATTCGAGCCTCTTGTCCGAGAACCCGCTGCAATCTATCTTGTAGCTGCCGCGTCTTCTCCTTGCTTTCCCTGCCCGGAATTTGTATAAGTAATCTGCCAGAAATATTTCTCCTAATTCTGGTATCGCCCAGATCAAGTTGCTCCAGGCTTACTTCTCGTCGCGCCTTCTTCATGATTTTGGCATAGGATCCTCCTCCATCCGGTATCCTTATGGCTACCGCCGACGAACGCGGGGGGCGAATACGGGGCTGACTTTGATTTCCCCGTACAGCAGAAGGAACTCGCACCGCCGAAGGACCTACCTTCTCCGGTCTTTTGTCACGAAGTCGTCGCCTATTCCTCCTGGGGCCTACAACAGACCACTCCGTATCACTCTGAGTGGCCGAAATATCCGAGCCCCTTTTTTCTCCTCGGAAGCAAGACGCCGTCTACGTCGCCTCCGCCGGGACTGCGATCTCTCCGATACGCCTTTGTCCTCTTCTGAGGTAAGCCTCAAACTCCTTCGCCGCAAGAGTTGAACACCTTTATCAAGAGCCGGCCTATCCTCCTCAATTCGGATGTGAGGACTACCTACTACCGGGACCGATGATCCTCGCTGGCTATTTATCCTCATATTCATGTCCTCATATCGTAAAGGAATC